GCTTTGTCGGATACTTAAGTAACTACAATGTAAAAGTTGTGGTTTAATATCTATCCAAATTTGGTGCTGAAAAACTCTAAAAATAATGTTTTTTTTCCTTTCTAATACTGAATCGAGATACACTTTATAGGGTGTAGTTCAATCTAAACTCAAATAAATGAGAAAGCTCACTAAACTGGGTTGCATTTACTCCATTCGTGAATTATTTTCACCCAATTTGGGGTACGTTTGGAAACAGTCAGACGAAAATGATTGCTTACAATAGATCACAAGAAGGTGAAACTCTGTTTTCGTCTCGCATAATGCTGATCATTCCACAGAGACCCGCGATGGCTCAGGGAATAGAGCGTTCGCCTTCCAATGAGGTGAACCGGGTTCGAATCCCAGTCGATACAAATTCCGCATCCGGCTTGCACCGACCACAGTGCTGACGTGAAATATCCTCAAAGGTAGACGAATTATGGGTTAGAGTAACTTTGCCATCACGCTAACCGTGGGAGGTTCTCGTGGTCTTCCCCTCCATGTAACGCAAATGCAGGTTAGTTCTGTCAAAAAAGTCCTCCACGAGAACTTTCTCCAAGATAACTTTCTCCCAATACTTGATACAGGAATTCCCTTGTATTCTGGACTGGGTTCAAATTTACAAGGCTGCGGAGTTGAACATTAGCAGTCGTAAACCCAAAAATTGGGTCAGTTGCTCAACGACGGTTATAAAATAAAATTAAATCATTCCACAGAAACAGAAGTAAAGTGTTTAAAGACCTGTCTGTTTTATCATACATGCCTTGCATGATAGAAATGTTTTCTTTATTAACATACATGTCTGTATGATAAAAATGTATGTTCTAAAACGTATGTTCATATATTTTAATAAAGATATTTATATTCTCATAAGAAGATTTACACGAACCTATCAATTGTATTAAATAATTTCTATCCGCTTTGATTTTGTTAAGTCTATTTCAAATTCATATTAACATTCTCCGTGTGCTGCGTGTGCAACAAACCTCATTTATTTTAAGAAATATTATTTATATGCATCCTAAGTTAATGATTCTTACTTTATATTGTATCATAAAAATAACTTTCTCGAAACATATGTGTATTATATCTTACTGAAATTATCAATGTTATAGTGTTACTGAATAACAAAAATGAACATTCTTGGAGTAGTGAAACATCTAGATTCAAGAGTTATGTATGGCGTTTTACAATGCACTGCTTTAATGTGGAGTAGTTACTACCATTTTTGTGTTGAGATACACTAAATTACTTTTACATGGTTAGCTTGATTGTCGATTGGAGAAAAGCAAGAAAAGTTTTTGCTATAAACTGAGTATTTGGCTATTTTAGATGAAATTGATTTCTCAAAAACAACGTGTGGCAGAAAAGTAGAGAAAAGATTCACAAAAAAAGTTCGCAGGAAGAACTGATATCATTAGAGAATATTCAAATGACAAATTTAAATTGACATTTTCGGAAAGCTTACTGACTTAATTCTTAAAAATACTAGCTTTGTCGTGGAGTTATTAATTTTCAGCTTCATAAAATAATTGTTGCGCCATCTCAAAATTATAAATTTTTTCTCATTGAGTTGTTTCAATAGGGAACACGATGACAGTCTTAAGTTGATAATCGGATTATTGTTACCGTCCATTACAGAGACACGATATTCAATGGAGCAACTATTAGTGCATTAAAATGAAGCATATTTATAATTCATTTGATACTTTCGATACCTTTGCAGATAAGGCTTGCCAGTAGGAAAAATGCGCGTTTTCAATTTAATAACTCTAATCCGATTAGAAAAGTATTTATTTTAATTCCATCTGGTCAGCCAGTACTTTTCAGTACCATTAGATTTATGTTTCCCAATAGTGTTGAAGAACCACGGAATTTATCGATTCATTCTGAATGCTTTTGTGAAATTTTATTAATCTATTACGAAAGAGAACATTCAAGGAAGGAATACTTAATTTATAATAATTCACTCATTTATATTTCATAGCGTATTGACTGATAGCAATATTGACTCAGAGCGTATTCACTTATGCGATATGGTATTTGCACTATGAGTTAGTGCAAATAGATACTTTTTAATGATATATTTAGGCATTTGTCTTTATCTGCAAACACTATAAATAGTAGAAAACTGTAGCTCATAGTTTCTCGGGCAAATACAGGCTGTCCTAAAATTCTGGTAAGAATTAATGTTGTTGAATATTTCGATTGACTACTTTGATATGATAGGGGGTCATGTATGGAACATCATACTGAGCACTAGGAGAAAGAATTTTGTTGTTACATGCGGACTTTTTGTTGAAATTTTCAATGACCGTTTCGAATAAATATGGGTAAATTTCTTCGGTATGACACTTAATTTGGTCTATCTCAAGTGAGGGTAATTGTTAGCAAACAAAAAATCTTCTAAAGAAAAAAGCCGAACAGCTTTAAAAAACCTATCAACTGTTACTCCGTATTTTTTTTTTCGGTGACAAAGTTTTACAGCACAAATGGCATAAATTTATCGCAATTTTGAGATAGTTTCTTATGAGTTTACGCATTTTCCCCAAAATTGTGAAAATGTTGAAGAATTTTTCATTTTATTATAACATTACTCAAGAGTATAAGAGACACCAAAAATCTTCGTGAAAAACATCAGTTATATATATTGGACTTTCGCATACTAAGAACATATCGTAATGGCACAACTATAGCTACGCCACGTAGTTAGGGCTGCCTATGAATTAAGTTACGAAATCGCATGCAAAAAAGCATTTCTCCAAATATTTTTTATGGGATTTCGAGTTTTGTACCTCAATATTTTATAACCGGCGTTGAACATGACCCATTTTGAGTTTACGTCTATAATGCTCAATTACGTAGCCTTGCAATTTGGAACCCAAGCCAGAAGACAAGGGAACTTCAGTATTTAGCAAGGGAACAAACTAACTTTCATGAGGGACTTTTGATGGAAATGATCCACATTTGCGTTTCATAGAGAGGTAAATCACAAAAATCGCTCAAGGTTAGTTCGATGGCAAGGTGATTTAACCCATGATCAGTCTTCCACAAAGGATATCTAACGTCAACACTGTCTTCGGTGCATAATTCGTACTGGCCTGTTATCGCTGGGATTCGAACTTGGGAACCTCATTAGGAGGTGAGTGCTCTATTCCGAGAGCTATCGTGCCGGATTTCAATACATATTTTATTTTATTTTATAACCGTCGTTGAACAGCTTATCCAAATCTGAGTTCACGACTATCAATGTTCAACTCTGTCGCCTTGTAATTTTGAACAAACATTAAGACAAACTAGCCTTCGTGGAAGACTTTTTGCTGGAACTAACTGGCATTCACTTTAAACGGAGATGAAAAACACGAAAACCTCCCACGGTTAGCCAGACTGAAGGGGATTCTAACTCATGATCCGTCTACCACAGAGGATATCTAACCCCAGCACTGTGATTGGTGCGACCTGGTAGCTGAATTCCAATCAACCTGGGTCACCTCGTTGGGAGGCGACCGCTTTATCCCTTGAGCCATCGAGGGTCCACCTCAATATATAGGGGTAATCTAGAAAGTAATTTTTAACTAGTTAAGTGAGAAGAGAGGCACTGTCTGTTAAGGCTGTTTTTTGAAGGCTCAGTTGTAATATGAAATAATGCTTTTTTGCAAATGATATGCTATTTTTATAACTGCTGTGAGTTAGCAATTGTTACTTAGGACTGTTAGATCAAGTTCAGTCTATCTAAAGCCAGTGCTGTCAACGATTTTGAAAATGGCGCAAAACGCCAGTATGGAGAAAGGCCACAGTTTTGTGAAAGTTGTTAATAAATATGTTTCAGCTGTTTATCTTATTTAAAATAAATAATTTGGACTAATAAAACAGCTGAATAATCAATATGACTTAAAAATTTTCCATAAAAATAAGAAGATGAAGTATTTTACTGCAACTGATGGTTCTAAATATCATTGTACACAGCTATGTGGCTCTCTGCAGAAAATTGCTAGTGCTCTCCTAGCAACACTGAGTAGTAGCTACTCGGTTCAACTTTGATTTCTTGAGGGGGATCTCAAAGCTATCGTGTATCATATGCGTGTGAAGTCAACAACATATATCGTGACAAGGCTTGCCTGCCCTACTTCTTCAGCCAAAGCAAAATTAGTTTGTTCGACTGTGTTAGTCAATATAGTTACGTTCATGCGTTTTTAAGCATTAATCAATCACTTGGGGAAATAAGTTGACTAGTTTAAGCAGGTAGAGAAAAGTGACCGAAACATGGGGATGAGATAAGCTTGAATGAATTTATGTAGGAAGTGTCTAAATTATCAATAATTTTTTTTTTCTGTTTGACGTTCACGATTGGCTGATTTTTACCAACCTTTTTCTGTACCAATTAGAGGTGCGATTAGTTATAATTCGTAAGTACATATCGGTTGCCCCCCTTTATATGATGATAGGTTAGAAAATGAGCGTTAGAACGGTGACAAGAGCGCCTGAAGTCGGAAAGGAGAGGGAGATAAGATTTGATAAATTTAATGACAAAGAACTGGAATCACCATTTTTAAATTTGTTTTCGTGGTAATTTTATTGGATATTACACAACCTCTTCTAATAGGACAGATAGGTTGCTTGTGGAAAGCTTTAGGCTCTTAAACCTACCGGAGAAAGCAATACGAGCGGGATAATGTTGTAAAAGAGCACATTGAAAAATAATGATTCCTTCATATCAAATCTCCAAAAAAATCTATCAAATCTAATATCCCTGGTCTTCACCACCAGGGCTGGCCTTTTTCTCATCTTCGAGTATCCACCATGTTGAAATTTGGGGTTCGCAGTTCATCACACGATCAATTTGTACCGAGAAACCATAATTAATCACAACTAATTACTGCTGGAAAAGATCTGGTAGCGCTATATTTCGATGGGAAAGTTTCAAGCATCTACTGCATTATTATAAAGTGTTTACATCTAGTATGCCATTTGTACTCATGTTATTCAATAAGAGTCTTTAATAAATCAATCTAATGTGCTCTTACAGATCTTCTATCTTTGTTATCACTTTCCCCTGAAAGTGTGCCAAAACATTTCTGAGACACCCTGCAAAATTTTATTACAAAAAAAACATGACAATGAAGCAATATTGCTGTCGTATAGTACATGTTTCTACATTAATTTGACGAAATAAATATTTTTATGTGATAATACCAACACTATAAACATTTTGAGATTGAAATATTTTGTTTACATTTGCGGGTTTTATTAATATTCTATTCTGATAACCTTCGCTATTGTTTTCTGATATTTTGGATTGAAAATATAACCTAAATTTGACATTGTTCACAAACCACATAACACCAAAAGAAGAAAAACAAAATAATGAGTTGGTTGCTATAAATACAATTGCTTCATTTTTAGTGAAAGAAGGAAAGGTAACTGCTTGATGATCATAATTTTAACTTAATGTTTGTGTAAAAATAACGTCTACGGACTTTTATTGCCTCTCCGAGAATGTCATTTAGTTAAAAAAAAAGGATAATTAACAATGAAGGTTTATCAGATACAAATCTGAAGTGCAGTTTCAATTAAGCACTTCTATGCTTATACCTCTCTTCGTCTGAATTATTTTTTTCCGCTGAAATACATCACTTCAAACAGCTAATTATTTATTCCATTACAAGTGCACAATGTGGATTTAGAAAAGCGGAATGAAAAAGTTAACCGAATACAAAGATGTGCAAAATTTTTATCTTTTCCTTCGTAGTTGGGAATAAAGTCCCTTGACTACTTCAATATTTAATAAATACCATTCTGAGTGTTATAAAAAGGATCGTTAGTATTATAAAAAAATATATGTCGAGATACTGATGAAGGTTTATATTTCAGGACAACGACGGCTTGAAAATTTTTTAAATTTTTTCCTGCTCAAGACAGAAAGATCGTTACATAGTTCCACTTAAAGTTAAATTTAGACCTAAACTAAAACTTCAACTGTGAGCTAAAGAATGTGCTAATTCATATTGCTAACTAGCATGTTTTACTGAACAGCCTAAGGGAGGAGCCCAAATTATTTTAGCAGCATTTTTACTATTAAAAATGTAAAATTTAGAATATTTGTAAGTTAAATTCCACAAGTAACGGTCACAAATTATTTGTTTAATTTCTTACCAATACTTATTAACTATTATATTATTTTTAATTGTAAATAGAGCAAATACTGAAAGTTAATAGTATATGACTTTTAACATATTTTTGAAAGGATAAAAAATTATTTTTCAAAGTTATGAATATTAATAAAACGCATTCCAATTTTGAATCGAGTTAAAAATCCCATGTTTTTATAAAGTGTTGTGAATCGCTTAAAATTTTGGCTAAAATATTTTTATTGAGTACGAGTAAAGTAAATCTAGAGAGAGTGTTAAATCTAAATGCATAGTGTATTGAATATTGTCAAATAAATATCTTAATTAAGATTCATTATTTTCAACAATTTATAACTGGAAAATGGTTAATTTATCATGATTAAAAATCAAATTACAAGATTTTCGAAAGTCCATCCTCGCAATCACCGGCGAACGAAATTAGAATTTTTAACGGAAAGAGCAGTGGATAAGTCACACAATGCCATCTATCAAAAACTTTTTGAACGAAACCAAAGAACACTGGGAGAAAATTAAGTGCCCTGTCACAAAAATATACTAATTGCTGCTTTTTAATTTTTATTTTTGAGAAATACTATCGTTATAATATTTTGAAAATCGTAAGTCTAATTTAGCACACTCTGTAATTATACATTGCAATGTTTTTTTTAAATTAATTAAAGACAGTTTATAGAAACTTCATTGGAGCAGTTACCTTGTCTTCTCATAATACAATATAACATTTTAAGAATACTTAAATACATGACCACAATAAAATACAAGATAATATTATAATAGAATATAAATAAAAAGAAATGAAATATAAATATGGCATTATGTGATGACAACTCCTTTATGGACACAGGGACCATTTCTTCCTTCCAATAAAGTAGGCCAAAGATAAGTTTTGATGTGATCTGAATCTTGATTGGAGGAATGAAAACGGACGTGAAGATCTTTGCGAAATATTCTTGCGTCGTATTCAATGACAAAAGGAGGACATTGATTTGAAAGACTCCACGCTAATCTGACACAGTCTTTGACATAATGCTTCAATCCATCGCAGCTCTTTAAGCATGGATAATCGTAAAGTGTCGCCCAAATCTGGGAAAGAACTTCCTAAAAAAAGAAATTATACATGTACTGTCTTTAAGATAATGTATAATAATTAATTTCGTATAGGAAGAATTTTTTCCCCTTTTTTATGAAATCATTGAAGCTGGAATTTCTAGGTCTCATAGGTATGATAAGTGGTATATTAAAATGATTGTTTGCTGCAACGTTAGCTTTTAACAAAGCACAATTTTATGTTTTAAATCCAAAAAAATATTAATGGCGTTAAACAGTCGAGATATGTAAAGTGGTTTTTGATATTTTACTCCGTAGCTTTGTAAATTTGAATCCGACTCAGGAAACAAGGCAAATATAGGTACGAATAAGTGGATTATTTTCGAAGTTTCCGTGTTGTGTTGCAGACATTTTATGAGAAACTAACCTGCATTTGTGGGAAATAAAAGTCAGGGAAACCTACCACGAAAAGTTTGATTGTAAGGCAATTCCAACCTGATGAGATACGTCAACTGATGGTTATGCTTTGAGTGGTAGGTTTTGGGTGGTAGAGTAGTATGGTATACTTTGAGTGGTAGAGACNNNAAAAAAAAAAAAAAAAAAAAAAAAAAAAAAAAAAAAAAAAAAAAAAAAAAAAAAAAAACTTTCTGGTTGATTTAATGAAGCTAGTGTTTTATCCGATAAACCATTCTGGCTTCAAAAAAAGTAATTGGTAAAATCTTGTTGAAAATTCAGTATACATGACTAGAAAAAGCTGAAAAAAGTTGAGTCTTTTACATGAAAATGTACTATTGCGCAATATAATCTCGTCTAATCAGTTTATAAAATTCAATTTTCGGGTTGAAAGAACCTAAAAATTGTGAGACAAAACACTTACAGAATCACGTTTTAATCTGCACTAAATTATTTTTACATTTAAGTGGTATACGCAAATTTACGAGTATATGAGCCTCAAACACTATTATTGCGGTATATATATATAAACTNTATATATATATTATATATATACCCTCAGAGACGTAGGTGTTCGTGAACCTGACTTCCTCAACTGTTGTCAAATTGTCACTAATTCTTTTGTCTTTTCCTCCCTTAAGTATTAGTTTACAATACTGAATTTTCATACGTTTTTGTCTTCATTTTTGGTTAGAATTCTAAAGCTAGATATTAAGGATTATCTTTAAGAAACTCTCAGTACATTTAGCTACATTTTAGAAATTACGAAAAAAGTACTCTCCTACACTGAGTACTCTTCTGATAAATTTACCGTGCTCGTATGGAGGTGCACTTTTGGTAAAATAAACCGTAATTTTTACCATAGTTTTCAGTCTTCCCATGGAATCAGAAATACGGTAAATTTTACCATATTCTGGTAATTTTGACCGCACTTTTACCCCCAGTGTATTAAGATATCATTCTAAAAGATAAATTCCCTAAAAGAATCTGAAATCTCTCAGAAAGTGCCAAACATTTTGCTGGTTTAGAAATTTAAGGGCTAAAATGTAATATATTTTATTGTTAAATATTTATTTTTTTAGTACTAGAGCTTTTAGTTGCCCTTTTTAAACCTTAACAAAACAACCTCGACAGCGTATTTTTAAAAAATTTATTTTGAATACAAGTCTATTTGTACTTTTATTGATAATATGTCAAAAATATGAGATGAAACGCACATGATCGGAATTTATAACCTAAATTTTCCATTATCTTTGACATTAATCCTATACTATTTACTCCTTGATTGAATATTTTAGATTTTATATCTGTTTTCAATATCGTTGGTTGCTTGGAATTATAAATGATCACTAGCATCATTTGAAAACATTCAAAATACGTTAAAGTAAACCTGAATACGTTTAAAATGGTTGATCATTTAGATGAAAGGAATCTATGTTAAATATGTAGCAAGTATGAAAGAGAAAAAAAATATACACTGTGAATAACTTTTAATCTTATATTGAATAACTCACTTGATATTGCTTTATGGGTTAATGATTCATAAACTATACTCCAAAATAATATTTGCATGATAACATTCTGTATTTAATGGATTGCTAATTCAATCTTTTAACATTTTCAACGAAATTTAAATCTCTCGTAAATTGAATATTCACGATGTAAACTAAACTTATTAATCTAAGATAAAAGATTTAATTATTCGATTAAGATAAAGATTAATTTAAGATTAAGTTTTTTTAAATATTTTATTCTCTAAACTCGATGATTTAAAAATCAATAATGATAATGCGTCAGTTATATATTTCATAACTTAAATAAATAAAAAAAAATAAAGAAAACTTCACAAAATATTGAAAAGAAGAGCGAAAAACAATCGAATAATAGAATTGGCTTACGATAATTCCGATTACTAAATTTAATTAAATTAATTTATTTGTTTTCGTACAGATCTGTAAATTTTTATTGGTCATTAATTATTTATTATTTCTTTAGATACTTAATTATTGGTATTTAAAAATCTTTTAATTTTCGTTGGTTAAACTTCACTCATAGTGGGTAAAACTGGAGATTTGTGATTCGATTTTTCAAAAATTTTGGTTTGACCCAGATTTGGCCCTATTCAAAAATCATTAATAAAATTTTTTTTCAAATTATGTAAAAAATAATAATATAAATCATAAATATCCAATAAACTATCAAATAATATAAATTTTCAAGTTTTTAAATAAAAAAAAAATATTTTTGTTGAAAAACGGCCCCCTGCAAAATATTAAAGGATTTTTTGTGAAATGAAAACAATGAAATAAAATATTTTGAAATGAGAATTTTTAAACTTTATTAAAGTGTCAAATTTATTTGAAAAAACTTAAAAATTCAATAATTTGTGAGTTTGCATACATATTTCCCTTTTTTAATTTTTTATTGAACTGAAGCTATTTCATTGTATTAACTAAGAGTTTAAAATATACATTTTAAAAATCATAACGAGCTTATTTAAAGGACTCGTTACACATGGTATTTATTTATGAATAGTTTGAAATATACTATATAAAATTGTAACTAATAGGAAATATTTCATTGTTTACATTACAAAAGAGGAAATATTCGAATTAAGAGTGACCTGAAATTCAACATTTTACATAATCGAATAAAAGCAATGTATTGTTTCGTTGAAAAGACTTTATCAACGAAATATATAAATTAATTAGAATACGCAACAGATAACTGAAATATTGTATAACGGTAAATTTCGAAAAGTATAGGTAACTGTATTTTAGTGCATTTCTAAATGTCAAGAGGGGATGTCAGAATTATCTAACATTTATTACTATTGTCAGTATCGAAATCATATGAACCGTTATGTTGTTAGTAAATAAGGTATAATTTAAATAATATATTACAATGTGACAAATGAATCATATTGTAAAATATTTTATTCTAATTATAACTATTTTGCCAGCAATTGAATATCTTCTAAATGCAGAGATGTTTAAAAAAAAAGCAATTTTAAGTCACGCGCATATCTTACTAATAAACTAGGTTTGGTGGGATTTGTTGGTTTCTATATCTTATTTGTTCGAGATAATAAAATGAGCCTTTTCTGAAATTTTTCTTTTTCTAATCTCAATGTATAGCTTGTCGACATGGTAAGTCTGTCTTTCGTCTATCTACATTGAGAAAAAAACTACCAGAATATGGCAAAATTTACCGTTTTTCTAATTCTATAGGTACGCTAAAGACTCAGTAATTTCCACCGAAGCACTTTGGTAATGATTTTGGTAAAATTAACAATGAAATATGTTTTTATAATATGTGATAAAATTTGGTTAATGTGATAAAATGTGGTAAATGTGATGACATTTGGTTATTTCATCAGGAAAACTTAGAGCATAGCATTAAAACTATTTATTCGGGCAAACTTACTTTTCAGTTTAGTATTTTTTACTAAATGTGTGATAATAAGAATTTATAATTTTAAAAACAGGAATTTCCTGGGAACTGTCACCATATGGACGAAAAATTTACCGAACGAATGGCTTAAATATCCTATATTTTGGTTTTATTATTTGGTTAATATATATATATATATTNTTTTTTCAATAAATCATTCATTAAGTTTAAGAAAAATAAACTGATTTTTAGCGAACAGAACATAGTTTTATTTTTAATAGAAGAAGATCATCTTATACTGTTATTAAGAACGAAAGTTGCTATAAAATACCTAAAGGGAATATAAAAGTTTTGATTGAAAATATAATGTTCGTTTCGAAAACGTCTCGAAGAGAAAACGAATGAAATAGTGTAAAGTAAAAATATATGATACCGTCTTGTTGTATATTTATGAGTATTATAAGTTATAATACAATTCTTATTTCTCAGAGAAGGAAATCTCATAGATGTTATTATTTTAAATTTTATATAAAAATGAAATAAAGCTTGTGTGATACCTAAGAAAATACCAAAACAAAGTTAAAGCAGTTGACAAAATACTCATTTCTGTTTGAATAAATTTTGAAACCACAATTTAACGTAGCAGAAAAATGAAATAAAGTACTTTTTACCAGTATTCGTTGTTATCTAAGTCGACGTTGATCAAAATTTGTATGTAGTGAAGATTAGAGCCTAGGTCACTCATACAAGGTAGGTAACTCAAAAAATAATTTAAAAAACTGTTTTGAAGAATTCTTTTTAAAACATAAGTTGTTTGTTTTACTTAAAATGATGCCTTCTTTTATCACTATAACGAAACAATCAAATTTCATTGCCGACGTTACAGAAATTTTAAGTATATTTTCTAAGAAATGTTTGGTATGATTAATAGGAATATGATTTAAAAAATAAATTATGATAAAATAGGCGATAATGTATTGTCTTGAGCTACAAAATAAAAGGCGTTTTTTTCGGATTTTCTGCAAGATACTGCAATTTAACACTCTTTGGGACAAATGGGAAACTTATGATTAACAGGACGCTATACCTGCGGGAGCAACTTTTAATTACAAATTCTCTTTAACCACCACACTGTAAAGAATATGTAGTTTCTGCGTTTTTGACGAAACCGTTTCCTAGTGAATGCTCCGAGCGAACATTTTGTC